TCGACCCTGACTGTAAAGGCACGAAAGATTTTCAGTGAGAGTGATGCGTGCATCGGAAAGCTCCTCAAAATGCACTTTCCATTGACGTTATCTCTCAGATTCTTTCATCGGCACAAGTGCGCTGAAAGCTGTGCCAGATCACCGGCTGCGGCAGCAACAAATATCCCAACAAACTCTCGGAGCATTGGGCTTCCTGTCACCCATTCTCAGCTGGCACAAGCAAGCAGACTCACAACTCATATGGCACTCTCTTTTCGCCTTTCCACACTTGGTGCATTGCGCTGCCGCCGACCACACGCCGCAGCTCACAGAATCATCGGCACCAATGACCTGCAGCAGAGCATGGCCAAACCTTCATCCGAATGAAACTGCTACGGCACCTAGGGCCCTAGGGCCTCAAGAACAGCGATGACATAAGAAGTAGTAAAACTCTTCAAGGAGAAATCGTGTTGCTGAGAAACGATACTTCCAATTGACATCTTCAGACAATCGTGGAGAACATGGATCAGAAACGTCATGTGCAAGCTGTCGAAATTTGGGCATGTATAGCACAGAATCTAGCTTTGACAAGGTCAAAAATGAGAGCGCACCAGACTCACACGGACGCAGCCCATACTCCGTCAAGTCCTTGAGGGAACTGTCTCTGACGCCACCGGCTGCAACACCATGACTTGCCATGGAAGTCTTGTGACTTCCCATGGAAGAGGGGCAGCAGTCCGAGAACAGCCTCCAAAAGACAATCGCGGGGGCGGTCCCACACTGCGGCATTGGAGTCCAATGCCGCGGGCAGCATCGAGAAAGTTGAGACGCCGCCCGCAACCCTACAACGCCCACGCCATGGTGCTGGATGCCATGCTTGGACAACTGCCCCCTCTTGTCAGTGCTGCGTGCTCTTGCCTCTTGTTCCCAGTTCTAGCTGTTCGCGGTCAAGCACGAAGAATTGCTGAAGGCTGCAGGTGGCGGATGTCGCCCACTTTGTCACTTTGTTGACGCCGGCACGTGCAGCGCAGAGCCATCGGAGTAGAAGCAAGGCCATCGCTCATTAATGCCTGCATTTGCATCCCACCATGCAAGCTTGGCCTTGCTCCCAGAACGCTTGCAATGGAGTCTCAGTTCTTCCCGGGTTTTGAGGGTGAGCACATGTGGAATGACTGTCAAGACTGACCTCCCAACCTCTCTGCTCCCTGCGAGTATGGTTGTTACTGCGCTTGCTGCACTCGGAATGACCGGGCATTGGTTCAGGCTTGGTTTCGCTTCCGCATGGCTCATGGGTGCGGCTTCGACGCGTCACAGGCAGCACGTCTCAACCCTCAGGCACTAGCTCTCTACATGGCGCTGCAGGTACCTTCAGGTGCCGGGATCTTCTTCGCAAGGTGGCGCATGCTTCGAAAGCTCCTCAATTTCCTGCTCACTGTTTGACTCTCAGTACTCTTGGTTCGCAAGCTGCAAACACATCTTCAGGCAGAATCAGGCTTGAATCGCACGATCTGAGTCTACGAAAGCATCAACGGCTGGCACACAAAGACAGACCCGTGAGCTTCCAGGTGATGAATCGATGAATGACACCTCATATAGCATACGCTAGGAGTGGCAGACAACCTGTTTGCGCCTTGAGGCACTTGGTGCATTGCGCCACCTTCGACCACCCGCCGCCGACAAATGACCTGCAGCAGAACATGACCCAGAGCCTCAAGAAACGTCACGGCATGGCAATCAGTAAAGCTCTTCAACGAGAAGCCGTGTTGCTCAGAAGCTGGTCTATCAGACCTTTTCAGACAAGTATGGAGAACATGGATTGGAAATGCCAGGTGGAAGCTGTCGGAATTTGGGCATCTTTAGCATAGAACCTAGCTGCTTCACGGTCAGAAAAGAAAATGCACAAGACCCACACGCACTCCCCTCATACTGAGTCCTTGCGAGGCACTGTCTCTACTCAAACACCTTATGAATCTGGCTGCACAGCTTAGCACGCGGAGCAGCGGAGTTCATCAAGGCACAAATGGTCAGCCAGTGCTCTGTACCGAATAACCGGCACATCCCGGCCATTCCTCGAAACAACCAAAACCAAAGTCTAAAGGGTCAGCAACTACCTGAGCTCAACAACCTAAGAGCTCGACGACCTACATACCTCCGCGCACAATCCATCTAACCTGACTAACCCATTTGTGCCAGCCTCTTGACCCTGACCCCGATGTGTTGAGACAACCCTTCCAATGCTAAAGCCTGAATGTTGGAAACCCCCCTATCTAAAACCCTGTATACTCCTGTGAAGCTCCTTTTTCACCACTGCAGCGCGCAGTGCGGAGATGGACCAAGATGGCCAGAGCAGTCATGGCCTACAGGGATTTGGACGGTTTGGAGGTCCCTGCTGGTACTGAATTTGGGTCTTGATGCAGGTTGAGCTGGTTGTGCCCAAGCGCTACCTTTTTGGGTTCCTCCCCCCAACCTGCACAAGGGCTCCTGGAACTGGAAGCCAGCAGGTGCGGCAGCGGCTGCAAGAGCGCAGGTGCGAAGAGCTGCCAGGCTGGATTGCCACCATCAAAGTGGCACAAATTCGCGGACAACCTTGGTCTGAAGCTCGGTTTTGTGAGAGCTCCGACTGTGGCAGCTCCGACTGCTGCAGGCAAAGCTGAAGAGCTAAAGTTCTGCACAGAACTGTTTGCAGTGCAGTTGAACACCTTTCCCTGGACCCTGAAGTACTCGAACTTACTCGAAAAAACTGGGAAAGCTGTTCAAAGCTCTTGGCCAAGAATCTCTTCGAAGGAAGCCTCAGCAGGCAACTCTAAATGCGGAATCCAAACAAGTGCCAGCAGCAGGACCAGGAGGTAATCACCATTCCAACAGGTTTCGAGAGCATGACCATTGGATTGAGTGGGTAGGTCCACACAAACTATGAGTAGCAGCAAGGCATCCATCTTTCCTCGTCCATCTTTCCTCCAACAAGACCTGGAGCAACCCCCACAACACATCGCCAACTTGCTGGCAAAGCTTCAAACACTCTGGTCGGCTTGAGATGTTGGGACCACAGTTTGATGCTGTCCGCCTCAGATTCACTAGCAGAAAGAAGTCGCCTTCCCAATTCAACAACTGTTCCCCGAATTTTGCAAATTGCAGAAGCATGAACGGGCTGCATTCTCGAAATCACATCAGCTTGGGAGCAATTGCTTCGGCGATACGCTCGCCCACCAGTTGCAGCGGGTGGTTCTCCGGAGGACCAGTCTGGTGGTACTCTGTCGCCGTGAAGCCTGCGGAGCATTTCGAGGGGCTTCGAGGACTTGAGAGGGGATCTGTTGGGCTGCAGTGACTGCTGTGAGCCACATATCCTGAATATGAAAGCCCTGAAAACCGTCATCTTCATGTACAACACAGTACATGGCGGAGAAGTCCTTCACCATAATCCCTACATGTGTCCTCTAGAACCCCTCATCCGGATGTAGCTCCTTCTCAATTCCAGAACTACGTAGGCCCCAAACTCCGGCATCATCCGTCAATGAAGTATGGAAACCCCGAAATGAGCCTTGTCATAATTAGTGACTCGACCATCCATAGCAGTCCAGCAATATACTTTCACTATCTGCCTCTCTCTACAGCCTGCAATATTGAAAGTTCTCCAAGACCCGACATGGAACCCCAACTTTCACAGCGACTCTGAAGTGCCAGCAAGCCGCTGTAGATGATGACCCCCTCGCCTGCCATCGCTACACTCAGCAGACAAGAACCGAGCATCTAAGTGACGGCGAAGCAAACAGGACACACAATCCTAATTTCGGCGCGCAAAGCACCACCAAGAACCGACCGAATCCAAGCAAGGAAGAGGTCCTACAAGCAGTGTTTCGAAACCGCATTAGATGGAGCTGTTATCGTATTCACGGTCGCTCTGACTTCTTGAATGAAGCTTGCCAATCTGAAAAAGTGCCGCTGAGGGACCTTCCGGCGAATTCCTGAGTTTCCCAAATCCGATCAAATCCATGAACCAGTAATTTCGCCATCACCGGTGCCAAGGAATCCTAACCCAGACCCATGTTCTCAGATTTGTCTCCGTGAAATTCTGCCGGAACAATATTATGTGCTTCCGAATCAAAACCCACATGCTCAGCTATGCACTTATTGATCCCTACTACATCCATGTGTCCACAGCTAAGAGAACTCACATGAGCCATGGGTTTGTTTGTACTGCTTGCGTGACAGCACGATACTCTTCGCTTCGATTTTCATCCCAGCTGTGCATGAGGGACTTGAAGAAGTGTCGTTGTGACATGTTGTGACTCTATAAACAGCTTCTCCTCATCCCTCTTTAGCCTATGTTGGGCCTTTTACACGCAGATGAGCCAGTACGCTCTCTTGCTAAGCAAGGTGGCTGCCTCCCCGCATCATCATGCCAAGGCTCACAACCATCGGGCCACGATGTTCTTGCAACTCCACCAGCATTAGAAGACGAATGGCCTCGCAACATCTTGGCCGAAGAAGTTGCTAAGGAAGAGGATAGTCTACTTTGGGTTTAGGGATCAAGCCAGAAAACGTTGGGGGAAGAAGTTGCTCCAGAACTTCCTCCCCTCCACTTGGGCTGTCCTGGCGGACGCATTTCAACAACGGGGCGGGCGTTTATCCCTGCTTCCAAAGGACCCATGTAATACCCTAAACCTCAGATAAGACGGAAAGGAGCATGGAAGGCCTCGAAACCCTTCGACCCATGGTGCGAACTAGAAAACACGCCTTCGCGTGCGGGAGTGCCCTCATCAGGCGCTGTCGAAGCATTTGCGCTTCGCCTCTCACAGGACGTTGAGCTTGGGGTTGGGTGCTGCGAAGTACTTTTTTTCAAGGGGTTATGTGGCACAAGAATATGAACGAATAAACTTTCCGCTGACAGCGTAAGGTTATCTGTGCTGCTTCACATCGTCGTTGAGTCAGGGACTTGGATAACTGCCCTCAATGCGTCTTCAACATGTTCAAAGCATTCAAAGGAGTATTCGAGAGTCTTCTTCATCTACCTTCGCACGCAACTAAAGCCGCACAACAGCAACCAAGGGGCACAGCTCACCGGTGTGATTTACCAGCCGGATGAAGACCCTTGGGCGATCGCACGCCACCTCCGCCAGTCCTAGAAATCGCGCTATACGCCGACCGAACACTTTGTGTGTGTTCGGGTTATTCAGATCGTGGTGCCAGAAGGAACCACCCCAGCTGGACCCCAGGAATACCGGGTGCTGATTTGTATCGCAGAATGCGCTGTACGTCAGGAAGTTCTGAAACCCTTCGTCGAGACAGCGCACGATCCCGTCCAGCGGGGTCCTTGTCCAATCGAAGGGCTGGGCTGGTCCTCGAAGATCCAGCAGTTGAAGTCCAAAGGTGGTTGCACAGTAGCAGCCTAGGCTTATAAACTCGTGTTGGTTGATGAAGTCGTTCGCTGCGGTCTGGTCCAAGCCCAGACAATGCCGGCGCTCTCCAGTGGTCTTTGCGGTGGGCATCGCCGGAAGGTCCTCGCAGATCAAGAGAGTGGCCACGAGACAACTGAACTCAGACAGTGGTGCAAAAGGACCTGTCAGCGTTGCGTTGCAGGCTTCAGGAACTTGGAATTGGATGTGGAGAGACCAATGAAAGGATTCCCACCGTACTAGTAGTCCCTCTGAGGCATCACTGACCTACTTTGGGATGTAATGACATGTGCTTGGTCCATATTCTGGTCACACATGGTCTGCCATGCACGCTGCATGGCCAGCTGCAGCTCAGGCTCCTCCAAGTGTGCGTCCCACTGCGGAACGGCTTGTGGAAGTTCCATTTCCACCTAGGGGAGGTACGTACTGACCATGAATTCATGGCAAATCAGCAGATCAGCAGATCCATGCAGATCCGATGCCTGCAGCGCTCTGGGGACCCATTCTGGTGCATCAGCGCGAAGCACAGTGTGGGCCTTGGGCTGCCACAATGCGAAAACATGTCGACCGCCAGCGCTGTCAACGCTGGATCTGCAAGTGGAAGATCAACAAATTACATTGGGCCAACCCCTTCAGCCCTTAGCCAGTATGGTTTTAGGCAGGTCGGGCTGTGGTGCGATCAGGCGACCACCTCTTCCGCTGCCTGCTTCTCCTCAGAGGGCTCCTTCGCTGTTGTCGCAAACGATGTGCACCACTGAGGTTGCAAAATCTGAGCTCCAGACCTTTGGATCCTCCTCTGTCAGGAGCTTAGAAATCTCCTGCGCAGTCCGGAGGGTCGCTCCGCGGCTCTTGGGTCAAGGGCATCTAGCATGAGACATTGCAGGCTGCATGAGATTGAAGGGCAGAGCCCTCATACCTAGAGCCTGACTTTAACAAAACATTAACTTCCAGCATCCCCTCCCTCACAGTCACATGCATTCCAGAAAGCGTCTCAATTCAGAGCTTTGGGCCAACCCCTTCAGCCCTTAGCCAGTATGGATTTTAGGCAGGTCGGGCTGTGGTGCGGTCAGGCGACCACCTCTTCGGCGGCCTGCTTGTCCTCCTCCTTCACTGATGCCGCGAACGATGTGCACCGCTGAGGTTGCAAAATCTGAGCTCTAGACCTTTGGAGCTTCTTCTGTCAGGAGACTCCAAATCTCCTGCGCGCTCTGCAGGGTAGCTCTGCAGCTCTCGGGTTCAGGGCATCTAGCAAGACACATTGCAGGCTGCACGAGATCAAATGGCAAAGCTTCCTAGCAAGGGCCTTTAGAAAAATACCTTACTCCGAGGATCCCCACCGTACAGTAACGGTAACATGTATTCCAGAGTGTGTCAATTCTGAGCCTTGTGACAGATCCTCATGACATCCTGGTTAGGCACCGTAATAACACTTTTGCAGTACTCTTCTGTTGGGTGCTTCCAAACAAATTTTCAGATTTTGGGTTGTGCCTAAAACGAACGTGGCTGTTGGGCTCTGTAAGGACACCAAGAGCTTGACTTTATTTAAAAAACGACTTCGAGCATCCCTTCCCTCCCCTGCTTTCCAGAAAGCCTGTGCAAACTCAAAGCTTTGGGACAACCCTCATGACATGTCGGTTTGGCAGTGGAGGCACACTTTCGCGACATTCTTTATCGCTTCCGAGTAAATTCAGAGTTGGGCGGGAGATGGTGGGTTGGGTACTCCTAAGACAGCTCTGGGGTCAGATACTGGAGAGACACTTTGGGCCGGGCCCTTGCGGGAAAACTGTGGGGGTTGATGCAGACTTCAGGAAGATGGGTACAGTAGCGACCCCACAAGAAGGGTGCGGAACTCAATCTGCGCAAAAGCAGCGGTCCGGCAGAGTCCAGCTGGCCGCATGGATGGCCATGAAGAACTGAAGCAAGGCTTCAGGATTGAGGCTTCAGGGTTCAACTTCAGCTGATGGGGCTGCTTCAAGATCGCAAATCTGCAGCAAAGCCGCGGGCTGCAAGGCCAAGACTTCCCATGGAACTGGGGGCAGCAGGCCGAGAACGGCATCCAACACCATGGCGAAGACGAACCAATGCCAAGGGGAAGCGTTGCGAAAGTGTCTGTAGGGCTCTTGCATCTTTTTCCTAAGACTGGCTGCTGCAGTCTAGAAACGGAAATCACTGTGCCCTCAGCTGGGTTGCGCGATCTAGCATGCAGAAGTGCTGAAGGCTGCGGATGGCCGATGTCGCGCAGTTTAAAAACGTTTTTGGCACCAGCCCGTGCGGCGACATGCAGTTGGATGAAAGCTGGGCTTCCGCGCTGTCCAGCAGAGTCCCCGGAGTAGAAACAAGACCACCAATACCTGCATTCAAAGCATCCCACCATGCAAGCTTGGGCTTGCTCCCTGAACCATTGTGCACTGGACCCCGTTTGAATCGCCCTTCTGGTCTCTACGTACCACGGGTCTCAGGGCTAGAACACGTCACAACCTTCCGCAGACTTTGAGACCAACCTCGGTGAAGAAACCGTCCGGTTAATACTTTATTTTCTGCGAATGTGTGGTACTGAACTTGTGATCGGAGATCAGGAGGTAAAGCGCTGCCATACAGCGTGCCTTCACTTGATGTTGACATAATTTTGACGTTCTTGTCAGGGCCCATCCCACACACGATCCTTGCTTGATTTTCTTACAGCAAGCTGAAATCAGAGCGAATTGAGAAGAGAAACGTCTTGAACAACTTAATCTGCGAAGGCCTCGCTGTCAAAGAAGAGGCGCTCCTGTCAGACTGACGGGTGGGATTGCTGGTATGAACACATGTCCAGGAAAGTCCTGTGTTAAGGGTCTTGAGCTGGGTCAACATGATGCTGTGACTTCACGGTCTGGCACCATGTCACTCACTATGAAGGGCGCCAGTCAGCCTTCTCCTAGTGAGGTCGCAAATCTGCTGTAGGCTTCTCCATGGTCCTCCAGGTTCTGACTGGAAGCGCAAGTCAGTGAAGCATCCCCCAGCAGCTCGCTAGTGGCAGCACCCTGCGGTCAGCGTAGTCAGACTGGGAACTCTCGTGACTGAAACGGAACACGCTTCATGCTTTGCTGGTGTCCAGGGAATGTCTTGAAGACCCTATGGCACTATGGCCCGTTGTGTGCGGCAAGGCAACAGGCACCCAACGTTATCCGACATGTTTTCAGGAGCTAGTGGCACCTCCTCAGCCGGAAAGCGAAGGCGCAAGTTGCATCTTTCGGGTGCGCTAAACAGCTCAGCAACCATCTGGGCACATGAAGTTCTTTCAGATTCTTTCAAATTGCTTTCTTGTCTTCGAAAGTTGCCTGCGGTCCCGTTCTCAAGTATGGGGACTGCAGAGTAAGCCATCAGTCTCCCTCATGCGATTTAACACTGTCTCGATGCTGCTCAGAATTCTGCAGCCATGACCACATCCTGTTGAAGTCTGTGTTCCCCAGCACAGAACTTGAGCCGCGCCTTTGAAAGAGTTGTGATTGGAGCAGATAAGATTACATTCTCCTGGTAAAATACTACAAGCCAAAAGAGGAAATATCGTTCTCCATGTTGTGGACGATAAACTACCCAAATACAACACTAACTCTGTCTTGGAGCTCTGCTGGGAAACCTTGAAGTGCAGGAGCATTGATGCGAACCTAGTATTTCTTGAGCCTAACACATGTCAACACATGCACACAGGGCAGGCAATTCTTGGATGCCCTGCGCATCCTAGCGCGCCGATTAACTTCGGTTCGGGTGGCGACCGCAGAAGAAAAATGAGCCTGAAGCAAACCTGAATCAACTCGACAATGCACAGTAAAACTGCGAACCTGCCCTAAGCTCCAGGATAGTGCTTGCACGATGGCCTTCTGCGAAGAACCCCTAGCTCCTCTTTACAATAAGAAGATTGGAAGATCGCAAACGAAGGCAAAGAGCTGCTTTCATGGCTGCAATCTGCATAGTCTTGTCCATGCAAACTGTACCTTGATCAACTTAAGCTTGAAGCAGCAACGTTCACAGGTGATTTTTCATGCTTGCAAGTGCATTCAAAAAAGGTACGTTGGCGTTGAAACTCTTTACCACTTCAACTGTACGTGGTCTTCCTTCGGAAGTGACCGTAGAAGTGCACCTTGCGCTCAAAGACTGAACTTGCAATGTCCAGTGTCAGCTTTTGTGATGCTGCTTGGGATGGCTTGCCGATGCGGCTTCGAGTCAGTACAACTCGGAAGCAATGACAGGCGATGACAATGATCAGCAGCACGTTGCTTGAGCAAGCAGTGTTCCAGCCGCAAAACACCTTCAGCAAGCTTCGCCAAGCCTTCTCCCCGACCGGCCAGACATCCGCCAAGCCAGTTGTCTGCAGATGTAGTAGTCATCACCACGCATCTCCGCCGCGAGCCGTCCGTGCCGAACAGCTACAGCACAGTCTGCAGAGAATGACCACGAAGAATGATGACTGACAGGTAGATCACACGGACATGGCCAGAAGATGCCGCTGCAGGCCTCGACGTAGTGACCATCCTCACATGCAAGGGAGCTACGTGCGGAAGCTCACCCGCGTGCTGTGCCACGGCTGAACCTGCCAGAAGCGGAGCTTGACAGCAGCTGTAAGAGATTCGGCAAAGCGTGGGCCTGGCCAGAATGCTGTGCAAGCGGTCGGGCTCGCAGTAGGTGATCTCATTGCCTGCAGCAGGGAACAAAAACGTAAGTAAAGGCATCTTCATGCACGGCAACTCTCACGACCGGGACAGCTGGCGCTGAGTCTGGGACGGTCATCCAGCAGTATCTGGAAGTGTTGCAGGTCAATGGCGGTCACGTTGTACTTGGCACAGATGCGCTGAAACGCCTGCGGCCATTCGACAATCTGCTTGCCCAGCTGGCTGACCAAGCCCTCCAACTCTTGCTCGTGCAGCAAGCCATCCTGGCAGGGAGTAGTTCACAGCAATCACAGCTCAAGGCTCAAGGCTTGTTGTTGACCATCTTGGGATTGTTGCGGTCTACGCAGGTCATCTTGGATTGTTCAAATTGACTATTGCTTCACATTCCGCAAAGATCACATATGCAGATCTGTGAGATCTTCCTGCAGCCCCAAATCGCTGCCAGAA